CTCTCTCTCTCTCTCTCTCTCTCTCTCTCTCTCTCTCTCTCTCTAGCCACCATGCCCGCTTCAAACGCACAGTACAGTCACGTTTCAGTGGGGAGGGATTGTCTGCTGCAGGGTACAGTATATGCAGCGCATGGTAAGAAATGCAAGCGCACTCGTGACTCACACCGCTTTACTCCAGCCTTCATTTATCTCTATCGCTCCCCTGCTGCTGCTCCATTTATCCTCGCATTCTCTCTCCTCCCCACCTCTTTCTCTCCTCCGGCTCATCTGTCCATCTTCCCAGCCGTCGTCGATGCCCCGTTTCTTTCTTCCACTCCCTCTCGTACCCGTATGACATTGATTCCAAGGTTGCTGTGCTATTGACTGCTGCTACGCTGTTAAATATTTCAGGCAGCATTTCAGTGGCTGTGTGCCGAGGGAGAGGAGGGGGGGGCTTTGCTCAGTCGCTCTGCAACTACGGCTGACAAACAGACGGGTGGACACACACACACTCACACACACCACCTGCAAACACACAGAGGTACATTCACATATACATGTCACTCCACAGATGGATGTACATGTACGTCTTATGTGCGTTACACTGCCCTGATTCGGGGAGCTTGGGTCGGCGTCGCGGACGTTGTGAGTCGTGTTCTCGGTGAAGTCTTTCCTCCCGAGTTTCAAGCAGCTGAAAAGTTAATGAATGAGCAAAGCAGTGCTGGATTGCTGTCTGCAGACTGTGCAGTTATTCCAGACCGGCCAGAACGCCTTCCTCAGCATGTCATCTGATCAGCAGCCTGATCACTGTTTGGGCTCCAGTTGGTGCCGAGGGACGGCAATCAGCATTCTCAGTTAGGACACACACACACACACACACACACACACACACACACACACACACACACACACACACACACACACTCGTCTGTCATCTTTTGCCTGGTGGTGTCAAAAACAAGAGCATACACCCCTTGGATCCCTGTGGTGGTGCTCGGTTTACGGTGGAACTGCATCACTGCTGCAGTGGCAGCAGATACTTTTCATAAACGCTTTTGGACTTCTTCAACTTGTTTTTCACCATTCCCCGCATTTGAAGAATTTTCTTATTTTATCTTGGGGGGGGTCTAACAAGAAGGCAACACCAAAATAGTAAAGACTCAGCAAGGCATTGACATTTTACAACAGCTTCCATGGGGCCAAGTGGGTGACAGTGGTCGGTATCTGTCATTGTTTGAGTTAGTCTAAACTTTTATCCCTTCCGCATCGCCACTACGGTCTGTGGAGGTGTGATTGGCAGCCGCGTTCCCTGATTGACAGCCTTGACTTTTAATCGAGAGCGCTTGATTGGCGACTGTGCTTGTCAGGTCGATGGAGTAAGACACTGGCTGCCTGTACAAAGCCTCGATCTTGACTCTCTGATGTTGACTATTTGCTCGCTATCTGATTGTGTGCATATCGTAAATCTGATATTACCACAGTGGTACAGGCCTGATTGAAAGCATCAACGGTGTAAAAGATGCCCTGTGCCTCGGGAAATCGAAGGACTAATAAATGTGTGAATCAGTGGTGATGCTTTACACTCATGGGTGAATGTGCTGTATATGTGTACAGCACCACAATGTCACAAACCAGGACCAGTCGGCAGAGAAACGTTTTTTCGACGTGCGGTAGAAGAAGATTTTGTTTATTCAATGCGCTCATAAGTGAAAAGGAATTCAACAAAGTTCTGTTTTCGCCCCCTGGTACTCTCTCATCCTCGCTCCATATCATTACTTGTAAGTGTGAGGAGTTCTGACGGCCCGTCTCATGCCTTAAAAGGCTCCATCGCCACTCGGCAGAAAACACGACGAGCTCTGTAATTCAAAACACGTGCAGACACTCCTGCTGCTGGGTTACAATAGCAATAGGGAAAAAAAAGGAGGGTTTTCCCAAGCTCTGCTCCTCTGCTCGTCTTCCTCCCCTCCTTCCTCACTCACTCACTCACTCCCTCCCTCACTCCAGGCTGTTACACAAGTGGAGAATTCATACTGAACTATTCTGTTGTTATACTGGCTGCATTTGGCTGCCTTCTTTCTGTGTCTCCCTCTGTGGTGGTTTCCTCCAAGTAGTGGTTTCTATCTCTCAGTACTGGTGTGTGTGTGTGTGTGTGTGTGTGTGTGTGTGTGTGTGTGTGTGTG